AGCTCCCCTCAGCCGCCTCCTCCCACACACACACTAAGGGGTTAGCCCCCTCTCTCCACGGGCCCAGCTTACCCTGGCTGTGCTGGGGGTCAGCGGGGGGCTCCGCAGCTGCTGGAGGGTTTTGGGGGGCTTCGGGGGGGCGGGGGCGCAGCAAGCTTTCACCCGCGCGTCTCTCGCCGCTTCCGAGCCTAACTGAAGCTCTTCCTGGATGGAATGAAAAAGTAAACAAGCCAGGGGCTGGGCTGGGCTGGGGAGTCAGTCAGAAGGAAGTACATACTATTTTGTACTGTTTCATTATGAAGTGTTTCACATTAGGTCAGTCCCCTAGGTAACCCACAATGCAGGACCCTGCACTTTGAGTGCTGCAGTCTCCCTGCACCCTGACCCCCAGGAGGGTGCTGGGAGGAGTGACCCCCAGCATCAAGCAACCCCTCATGTTGTACCCCCTGGCTGGAGAGCACCAGGGCTCCACATTTGGCTCCAGCTTTGGGCTCCACATTTTTTAAATGATGTGGAAAGGTCAGAGAGCTTCAACAGACAGGTGACAAAAATGATAAAGGGCTTGCAAAGCAAGCCATGTGAGGAGAGGTTGAGGCCTATTCAACTTCCAGACTGTGTCTTCAACTACCTAAAGGGCTGCTATAAAAAAGGAGACCGCCTTTTCTGTGTTGCTGCAGAGAGCAATACACAAATCTATGGTTTGAAGTTGCAACAAAGTAGATTTATACTGGATACCAAGAAAATCTTCATAGCTAGAACAGTGAGGCAGTGGAATAGACTGCCTCAGGATGCTGTGGAATCTCTATCATTGGAGATGTTCAAGCAGAAGCTGGATAAACATTAGTCAGGAATAAACCAGGCCTTCTCAGCACTTTTGGAATGTGGCAGCAACACATCTGGCTGACAACAGCTATTTCTGCTTCCTCAGTGCTTCTCAACCAGGATCTACTGTCTCCAGGTAAAGTTCCCCTGCACACCTGCTGTGCAGCCAGACTGGGAAAGGCTGTACACTACTCTCCTCTTGTATTAAGGATCTAAATCAGCCTAAAGGAGGCAGAAGCTGGCTGATGCAGTCCTTCCCAGTTTAGCCCCCACCCCCATGCTCCTCCCAGAAACAGGAGTGCAGGTGGAGCTGTCCCATTCACCTCTTTTTTGGGAGGAGGTGTGGGAGGAGGACTAGGAAGGGCTACACAGCACCAGTCAGCTCTTGTCTGCTTCAGGCAGATCAGAGCAGCGATGCAGAAATGCGCAAGGCAGTTTTTTACCCTGACTACTGCCGCTGCCACAGCACCCTGAGGAGGTCTTGCAGCACATTGGTTGAGACTCACTGATCTAGAAGTAATCACACCTAGAATACTCTGTCTAGAGCAAGTGTACACACACACCTTCACAAGTGGCTCAGTTACAAAGGTGGTTAAAGGAGCTGGAATAAGGTTATGGAGGGGATACAGAAAGGAGAGTTCTGGCTGTCCAGTTAGACAGTGTGTTGTGCGGAGTTATGCTTGCTGAGTGGAATGGAGAGTGTTTAGTATTTTCTGGGCTTCTGGGCTTTGCCAATTGCCACATGGGGTCAGGATGGAATTTTCTTATCCCCCTTCCTATTAGTCTTCCTCAGAAGTATTGGGTTTTGGCAGCAGCCATGCAGGGGATTTTGATTAGGATGTGCCAGTGTTCCTGTTGAGACTAAATCCCAGAGGTTCCTGGCTAAAGCATCTTGCCCTTTTGATCAGAGTCAGCCCAATTGCTATATTTGGGATCAGAGTAGAATTTAAATCTTACTATCAGACCAGCAGGGACTGTAGGGGTTTTTGCCTTCCTCTGTAGCAAGGTGCATGACCCTTGTGGATTTCTGAAGTATAATTTTAACAACCAAGGAAGCTGTTGGTCCATTGTTAAATAGCCAGGGGGAATACTTGACAGAAGACGCAAAGAAGTAGCAGGTACTCAACAGTTAATTTTTTTTGTGAAGTGAGGCAAAGTAAATTGCAGCCAGGCACCTTATACGGATTATTTGGATAAGGAAGTGGACAAGCTCTGATTCTAACCCTTGCAGCAGCAGTACACCGACCACCACTGTCCCCTTGCTTTACTTATGGCAAGTTAGGTGTTACGCCTTGTGGTTGTGCAACAGATTTGATTGTATAGTTTTAGTAACAAGTTAGACAAGGATTTATATGGGACGGTTTGGATAGGGATGATCCTGCATAAGGCAGTGGGAAAAACTACATGACCTCTGGAGGACCCTTCCATCACTACTTTTCTACTGTGATAATTTTGAAGTGCTTAGGGGATGGGGAAGGGGAGCAGGGGTCTGTATTATTTACTTGATCCATAAGCCATTCTCCCCCAAAAAAGCTTACAGTGGTTTACAAAAAATATAAAACATCTAGAAATGGCATAAAATATTCAAATAAGGTACAACAAAACACCCTCCCCCAATATCAAAAGCAATTCACCCCACCCTATATCCTCCCTTTCCCTTGACTCTGACCCAGGAGGGCATCTCCCTGCCAGCCCAGCCTCACTTCCCACTCATAAATTTATTACATAAAAGAAAGTAACCAACTCCCCCCCATCCTACCCAACAACTCCTCCTCCTGTGCCTCACACCCAAGAGAGTCTCCCTACCTCCATTATTGTTCCTCCCAAGCTACACACTTCCCTCTAGGGGGGGGTTATAGCTTTTCCAAATCCCACTCCCTCTGCCCATGGAAACACATTATTCAAAATTTAAACAATAACAACAAATAATACAACAACTACAAGTCTGTCTGTGGCTGAAACACTGTATTTTTGAAAGGTTTCAAACTCTGTTGCACTTTAAAACACTTCATGTGTTATGTCTCTGCATCACAAGAGATATTGCAATTTTGATTTTGGAATTCTAGTAAGGAGTGATATGAAGTGCAAAAATTATTTCATAATAGAATAAGTATGAATATCATGAATCTGACCTACAATCAATTCTACAGTTTCAAACTGAAAGCACTTTTCTTGTACCCTTCATGTAGATAGACATTTAAATCTGGTATCCCACCTGACAGTTTGGAGACCGGAGATCCCAAAGCCGGATGGTCTTATCAAGTGATCCAGAAATAAAAGTATCATCCACTGGAGACATGGAGAGAGCAACCACTCTGTAACACAAGACTAGATATATCAGAGACTGCACAGATCTGCAGGAAAGTTAACAATGCAACATGTATCCTGCCATCTGTGTACTAATCTATAATACTTATGAACATCTCCCCCTTCACAACCCCAATGGCAAATGAAGCGGAGTGAATAAAGCTGTACATGGTTTATGCTCATTATAACCAGTTTTAGCCTCTCATTGTAACTTTAAAGCACCAAGATCTGGAGAAGTGAAGTATCCCTTCACTCAGTCTCTCACCTCTTTGTATGCCCAGGGAAATATCGGATGTATTTATTGTCATGCAGTGAGAGGTATCGGATTGTATCTGCAAGAAAATAAGACAGTAAGGAATATCACACAATAAATGTAACCCACCAGACAGCAATGACCACTATCCTACTGCAGTGAAGGAGTTTGGCATAAAGTTGCACATTAAAGCTGGGGTCAACCAAGTTAGGAACTTAGACAATACTGACTGGCACTCAAAACTAAGATGGAATACAAAAGAAACACAGGAACAGGGGCAACTAGTTAGGATGTTCCCCTCAATCAGTAGATAATGTCACACAGTGCAGGCAAACAGATTTATACACATCAACTCCAGAAATTGAAACAAAAATTGTTAAGAGATTTTGCTGCAGCACTTTCCATGGAATTACAGCTTTATAAAGAGTAAGAGCTAGCCTGTTAGCACATTTTTCACTATGTGATTGGGATGTCCTATTAAATGTGACCGGGGGGGGGGGGGGGGGGGAAAACAAGACTGATCTCCAGCAACATAGTCATAGCAAAGATGCTAACTCTGACATCCAGCACCTGATGAGATGGGATGTTAACTTCAAAACTAGGGTGGAATATGAACACCAACATTTAATCATACACAACTCAGTTAAAGAAGCTTTAACTAAAACACTCAGTTTTCACTGCTTTATCTAAGCTCTTCTTGTCTGGTTAAAGCTGTGGTGGAAAGCAGCAGGA